TTTGATATAAAATATTTCATAAGGAAGCAAGAAGCTGACGGCCGAAAAGCAAGGCTGTTTATCGAAATTGATCTAATGTGTAACCCCCTCCCCTTCCTGCAGAAGTGGGCCGCACGCGTGGCGCTTGCGGGCCTCCTGGTCGCCGCCCTCCACGCCGCGCCCGACGCCGAGCGGCGACAGTCGCGGTCCGTCCTGTCGGGCGGCTACCTGCCTCCTCCGGCGGGGGGAGGTGGAGGCGCGTCCGGGGGTTCGGGCGGGGGTGGATACACCGGCTCGTCGGGTGGAGGAGGCGGCTCTAAGTTCGGCGGGGCTGGAAGTTCCTTCGGGGGCGGCGGTGGACATGGTGGATCGTCCGGAGGAGGTTCCTTTGGTGGAAGGGGAGGCTCAGGTGGAGGATACGGCGGCTCTTCAGGTGGATCGTCCGGAGGAGGTTCCTTTGGTGGAAGAGGAGGCTCGGGTGGAGGATACGGCGGCTCTTCAGGTGGATCGTCCGGAGGAGGTTCCTTTGGTGGAAGAGGAGGCTCAGGTGGAGGATACGGCGGCTCTTCAGGTGGATCGTCCGGAGGAGGTTCCTTTGGTGGAAGAGGAGGCTCAGGTGGAGGATACGGCGGCTCTTCAGGTGGATCGTCCGGAGGAGGTTCCTTTGGTGGAAGAGGTAGCTCGGGTGGATCCTTTGGTGGAAGGGGAGGCTCAGGTGGAGGATACGGCGGCTCTTCAGGTGGATCGTCCGGAGGAGGTTCCTTTGGTGGAAGAGGAGGCTCAGGTGGAGGATACGGCGGCTCTTCAGGTGGATCGTCTGGAGGAGGTTCCTTTGGTGGAAGAGGAGGCTCAGGTGGAGGATACGGCGGCTCTTCAGGTGGATCGTCTGGAGGAGGTTCCTTTGGTGGAAGAGGAGGCTCAGGTGGAGGATACGGCGGCTCTTCAGGTGGATCGTCTGGAGGAGGTTCCTTTGGTGGAAGGGGAGGCTCAGGTGGAGGATACGGCGGCTCTTCAGGTGGATCGTCTGGAGGAAGTTCCTTTGGTGGAAGAGGAGGCTCAGGTGGAGGATATGGCGGCTCTTCAGGTGGATCGTCTGGAGGAGGTTCCTTTGGTGGAAGAGGTAGCTCGGGTGGATCCTTTGGTGGAAGGGGAGGCTCAGGTGGAGGATATGGCGGCTCTTCAGGTGGATCGTCTGGAGGAGGTTCCTTTGGTGGAAGAGGTAGCTCGGGTGGATCCTTTGGTGGAAGAGGAGGCTCAGGTGGAGGATACGGCGGCTCTTCAGGTGGATCGTCTGGAGGAGGTTCCTTTGGTGGAAGAGGTAGCTCGGGTGGATCCTTTGGTGGAAGAGGAGGCTCGGGTGGAGGATACGGCGGCTCTTCAGGTGGATCGTCTGGAGGAGGTTCCTTTGGTGGAAGGGGAGGCTCAGGTGGAGGATACGGCGGCTCTTCAGGTGGATCGTCCGGAGGAGGTTCCTTTGGTGGAAGAGGAGGTTCGGGTGGATCCTTTGGTGGAAGAGGAGGCTCGGGTGGAGGATACGGCGGCTCTTCAGGTGGATCGTCCGGAGGAGGTTCCTTTGGTGGAAGAGGAGGCTCGGGTGGAGGATACGGCGGCTCTTCAGGTGGATCGTCCGGAGGAGGTTCCTTTGGTGGAAGAGGAGGCTCGGGTGGAGGATACGGCGGCTCTTCAGGTGGATCGTCCGGAGGAGGTTCCTTTGGTGGAAGAGGAGGCTCGGGTGGAGGATACGGCGGCTCTTCAGGTGGATCGTCCGGAGGAGGTTCCTTTGGTGGAAGAGGAGGCTCGGGTGGAGGATACGGCGGCTCTTCAGGTGGATCGTCCGGAGGAGGTTCCTTTGGTGGAAGAGGAGGCTCAGGTGGAGGATACGGCGGCTCTTCAGGTGGATCGTCCGGAGGAGGTTCCTTTGGTGGAAGAGGTAGCTCGGGTGGATCCTTTGGTGGAAGAGGAGGCTCGGGTGGAGGATACGGCGGCTCTTCAGGTGGATCGTCCGGAGGAGGTTCCTTTGGTGGATCCTTCGGCAGTGGATCGTCTGGAGGAGGCAGTTTGGGGGGCTATGTCCCTCCCGGAACTGGTGGCTCCTCCGGAGGTGGATCTTTCGGTGGAAAAGGAGGATTTGGGGGTGGAAGTGGATCGTTCGGTGGAAAAGGAGGATCTGGTGGTGGCTATGGCGGATCATCAAGCGGTGGATCTTTTGGAGGTGGATCCTTCGGTGGAAGAGGAGGATCTGGAGGTGGATCGTTTGGCGGAGGAGGATCTGGTGGAGGATACACCGGATCAACAGGAGGATCCTTCGGTGGAAGTGGAAGCGTCGGTGGTGGATCCTTCGGTGGGGGAGGTTCCGTTGGTGGAGGATATCTTCCACCTAGCAGAGGATAAAGGCTTCCTCTCATTCTATCTCTTTTATCACAGAAGCTTTGTTATCTGTTCCGAATACTTTTATGACTACGTCACATTAATATACATATCTCTTCATTTGAATAAAGTTTAATTTATTCTAATAAATTATTAAGCCAATATAACGTTCTTTGAAACTGCATAATGCCCTGATGTTATATTCATATCCTAACTTTAATCAATTGTCTGGTTCATCCCTTAGCCAGTATAAAAGTAATGTCATTCCAGATAAACAAAGGATGAACAAGGATTGATAAGTGAATAAAAAACTAAGTACTGCTGCTTTCCGTGCGTCTTGAAGAACATGAAGGTTTTTCCTTCAGGAATACTAATTATGAATTAACAAGGCCAACAAAATCCTCAATCTGAAGTTAATTTGAATTAACAAATCACTCCTTTTCCAGTGAGGATGTTGAAATCTGGGATTCATCTCAATTTGAATATGATCTTAAAATCTGGAAAGAAAATCCAAACCTTAGCGAATATTGACATTGACACTCTCATAAGAATACCAAAATTTATTTTTTGTTTTAAATATTTAGAACATAAAAGCCCCCCCCCCCTATATTTCATTGAATTGGTTTTCTTTCTATCGATCTGATTTGGGAGACAACTGTTCCTTGATATGCGCATCATTACTATGCTGCCTTATGTCCACGGAATTTTGTTCATTTTGTGGTTAGCAATATGCTAAATGAATAATTTCATAATTCTTTATATTTTCCTTCATATATATTATTATTATTAGCAACCTGGAAAAATCAGGATTATGATTTGATGATACAAAATAGTCAGCCGACCTCCCCGTTCACCTTGGTACTCTTTGTATTTTGAAATTAATGCATAATTCAAAAGTTTAGTCAGAATTTTACATAAGTTTGTTTATTGTTGTTAGCCAATCCATATATGCTAGTGTGTATAATATCAGTGATTTCCTATATCAACTGTAAATGTCTTCGATTTGATAAGAGGTTATATTTCGCCGGATAAAGTCTAGTATTTTCTGTTCCGCTTAAAGTCAACTAGCTTATATCATTCTTAAAAAAAACTGTACAAATTATATTTTTTATATATTATTTATTGTGCTCATATTAATATCCTTTAGCCTACCCAATATTATGTACTTGTTAGATTAATGTTTTACCTACTTATACAGACGCCCGGAACATATATATTTTTTTTCAATGATGAAGGTCTTTGTTGCACTGCTAGTTTCTGGATGTGTGTCTGTATCTATCTATCTATCTATATCTACATCTATCTATCTATCTGTCTCTCTCTCTCTCTCTCTCTCTCTCTCTCTCTCTCTCTCTCTCTCTCTCTCTCTATATATATATATATATATATATATACATATATATATATGTATATATCACTAATTTCCAAGAGTTCATTCTGAAACTTGTCATTACTGTTTGGTGGTGTTATCAGTGTATTAATTTTTAGCGCTTTTGAATACTTGTCCTACTTGTCTGTTGTACGTATCATTATAATCTTAAGACATGAAGCCCCAGTCATTGCTCCAGTTGAGTGGATGAAGATGCACCTACTCTATGGCATTATATGGATTAGAAAACTGTGCAAATAGTTGCAAGGCCCTAGAGACAAACAACTGAAGCAGAAAGCTGTGATGAATATGTGGATGATAAAGCTAATCATTCATTTTCTAATTCAATTGTGTGATCGGGTTTAATGCGATGAATTCGAAGGTGAGAAAGCTAAAGGTAATGTGCAATATCTTCATTTTTTTCTACACTCTCTTATTATTATTTATTGACCTGATATATATTCACACTTATAGAAGTCACTCTTACCTATATTGACATAAATGTATGATTGATGTGAAAGTAAGATTCAGAAAATAGAATTAAATTCCAACGGAGACTATAAACATAGGCGGTCGAATTCCTGACCATTACACTGCACACCCAGTGACACTAGTTAGGAAATAAAGCTTGCATTACTGAATGAAACCTTAAACTCACCATGTAAAGCAGTGTGCTTCTCAAGTATGAGACGTCAGTCTCCAGTCCCTGAAATGCCTGTCTCAGTGCCTCCACAGAGAAAATATATAACTTCTAACATCAATAAAAAGTAATCCGTAACTAGTTACCATATGATAAAAAACGGCCAATTGCTCAATACAAATCGATTTCCTATGAAACACCGACCAACTTGCCTAAAATGTCTGCCCCTCGAGATAATGAGACGAAGCTCCTTTGTTAGGGCCCCTTCTCTATTCCTTAAATATTTTAGTTATGGGTTACTATATCCTTGATTAATGCACTTTTATTATTTGAAAAAAAAAGATACAATCAAATTCTGTAACATAACGAATAGTGAATAATAAAAATCAAATTTCCAATATGAAATCGACTGACAATCTATGTCAAGACTTCCCAACCTGGCTGCTTTCTGGGAGACCAAGTATGAAAGTTATAACGTAGAATTAAACTGAATTTCATTTTCCATACAGTACTTATTTAAAATTATCTCTCACGTGTCAATAAATTCATATCTTCCCATATAGCGTCCTATAGGTGCTGACACCATTACACTATTCATAACTAGTAATAACTGAATCTGAAAAGAAAACCACTGTGCGGGGTCATGGAGATAATTATGTACTGGTTGGGAGCCACAGCATAAATTGGGTGGGAATCACCGTTATACATTATATGTACGAAACCGTTCTCAGATGACTTTTTAGTTAGATATATATTTTGAACTGTCACTGACATTTATACATACATACATACATATATATATATATATATATATATATATATATATATATATATATATATATGTATATATATACATATATATATATATGTATATATATACATATATATATATATATATATATATATATACATATATATATATATATATATATATATATATATATATATATATATATATATATATACATGCATATATATATATATATATATATATATATATATATATATATATATATATATATATATAGATAGATATATATATATATATACATGCATATATATATATATATATATATATATATATATATATATATATATATATATATATATATATACATATATATACATATATATATATATATATATATATATATATATATATATATATATATATGAATATATATGTATATGTATATATATACATAGATATTTATGTGTATATATGAATATATGTATATATATGGATATAGATGTGTGTGTGTGTGTGTGTGTGTGTGTGTGTGTGTGTGTGCGTGTGTGTGCGTGCGTGTAGGTGCGTGCGTGAGTGCGTGCACACACACACACACACATATGTCGTATCGAATATTTTTTCATGTACAAAATTAGATATATCATACCAAATTACTGCTGCTAATTTCTCAAGATCGATTCTAATACAAATGATGATAACACTAACTAACTTTAAATTTGAAGGAACACCGAAAAAAATTGACTTACCTGAATTAAATGTAACATGATGTTTCAACCATTTTCTTTTCTTCTAAAATATATTAACAGTAAACAAGTGAAATATTATAGATATCAGAAAATGACGAGAAAATTCTTTAACTAAATCAGTTCAATTCTACGAATAATTTGAACTTTGAGCATTACGATCAAAATAAACGCTAGATAAGATCGAGACAGTCACCCCACTCCCCGGTATTTTCCATTATTACTTGGGCAAAAAGTCATCGATCCCTCCCTTCTAAATTTCACAATTTCCCTCTTTTATTCTTTACTTTGGCCTACTGTTCCTTCCACAGTTTATTATTTGGTACAGTCAGAATTGTCACCGACACATTCCGTTGCTGTGCCCACGTGCCAAATATATATAATAAATGTATATAATAAATATATATATATATATATGATATATATATATATATAATTATATATATATATATATATGTATATACTATACATATATATATATATGTATATATATACATATATATATATATATATATAATATTATATACATATATATATACTATATATATATATATATATATATATATATATATATATATATATACATGCATAATATATATATATCTATATATAATATATATATATATATATATATATATATATATAGTAGATATATATATATATACATGCATATATATATATATATATATATTATATATATATATATATATACTATATATATATATATACATATATATACATATATATAATATATAGTATGATATATATATATATATATATATATATATATGAATATATATGTATATGTATATATATATATAGATATATATATGTATATATGAATATATGTATATATATGGATATAGATGTGTGTGTGTGTGTGTGTGTGTGTGTGTGTGTGTGTGCGTGTGTGTGCGTGCGTGTAGGTGCGTGCGTGAGTGCGTGCACACACACACACAACCCATATGTCGTATCGAATATTTTTTCATGTACAAAATTAGATATATCATACCAAATTACTGCTGCTAATTTCTCAAGATCGATTCTAATACAAATGATGATAACACTAACTAACTTTAAATTTGAAGGAACACGAAAAAAATTGACTTACTGAATTAAATGTAACATGATGTTTCAACCATTTCTTTCTTCTAAAATATATTAAAGTAAACAACGTGAAATATTATAGATATCAGAAATGACGAGAAATTCTTTAACTAAATCAGTTCAATTCTACGAATAATTTGAACTTTGAGCATTACGATCAAAATAAACGCTAGATAAGATCGAGACAGTAACCCCCACCCCCCGGTATTTTCCATTATTACTTAGACAAAAAGTCATCGATCCCTCCCTTCTAAATTTCACAATTTCCCTCTTTTATTCTTTACTTTGGCCTACTGTTCCTTCCACAGTTTATTATTTGGTACAGTCAGAATTGTCACCGACACATTCCGTTGCTGTGCCCACGTGCCAAATATATATAATAAATGTATATAATAAATGTATATAATAAATGTATATATATGTATGTATATGTCTATGTATGTGTATATGTATATATATACCTCATAATGCATATATTTGTCGTATATATATATATATATATATATATATATATATATATATATATATATATATATATATATAT